TCTATGATTTGCCTATACTAGGAAACCTATACAGTGGGGCCTTGACTTAGGAGTGTCCCGACTAACGAGTTTTTTTGAGATACCAGCTGTCTCTCGGCTGATTTTTTGCATTGAGTTGACAGAGTAATTTGAGTTAACGAGCTCCTTAATGAGCTCGGTCTCGGAACGAATTAAACTCGTAAGTCAAGGCCCCACTGTATAAGTGGAATCTCATAACACTTATCTTTTTGTGTCTGGCTTATTTCATGTAGCATAGTGTTTTCAAGGCTTAGCCATATTGTAGTATCCCTATTTATTTTTTACTATTTTTATTGCAATATTATTGACAGATAACATCGTGTAAGTTTAAGGTGTACAATGTGTTATGTAGTATCCCTATTTTATAGACTAGGAAGCCAAGACTTACAGGAAATAACTTGCCCAAGGCCATAGGGGGAATAAGTAGCAGAGGAACAATTCAAATCTGGGGATGTCACATCCTTAAGATCCGTGCTCTTAACCATCCTAGACACAATTGTGTCTCTCAATGCAGACCATAGGCCACTACATCAGGACCACCTTACATGCTTAAAAATGTAGATTCCTGGCCTCCGCCCTAGTCCTACTAAATGATAATCTTTGTATTTTTAACAAGCTCCCAAGTTGATTCTTGTATAAAACTAAAGTTACTAGAATATTACTTCATTCTTCTTTATAAAAAATTCAACTGAGAACCGATGGCAATGGAGAAAATGAAGGGACGGTAAGGGACTCAAGGGGAGTGATCTCACTAAAAGGGAGAAATGAGTAAACACGCCTCCAGGAGTTCTCAGAGCCTGTATATTCTGCGGGGCTCTCCTGGAATGATTTCCAGTGTGTCCATCCGTATCTTCTTTGTGGTCTCATGACTTATCCTTTTATGAAGTGAAAAGATAAATCTCTTATAGTTATGCCACATTTTTATTCCCATTTTTATGGATCATGTCAATGTGTATTATGTGTAAAAAACAAACTAGCTGATCGTCAGTGCTACAAAATTATAGCATCCTGATATGTGGCATAAGAAAACAAAGATATCAATGCTGAGTTTAGATGCTTTGCAAAGCAATGCACAATGTAGCCAAAGACATCATATTCAGTGGGATTGAAAGCTCACTTTCAGGAAGACTTTCACCTTGAAATATGGTGATATGTGGAACAGATGTTTTAATTTTCCTAAGATAATTTGCATAATCAATTTAACATGTGGCTTATTAAACCTGCCAAAGAGCAGGTGACAATATGGAATTAATATGATTACTAATTTGACACATCATTGAGATTAATTTGACCCTTATTGCTCTCAGAATACCCAGAGGTCTTTACAGACAGGAAGAGTGTGCTATGAGATGCCATATGTAGCCATCCAAAATCCACCATAAATGAAGCAACCGCTTTGCTCAGTCTGGTCTCATGCATCTACTCCTTTCAAACTCTCTTCTAAATTGAAAAGAAGGCGATGACTGAATACTGAGGGAGGCATCTGATTCTGAGTGTTCATGACGTTATGAAAAGTAATTAATCTAGCCCTTCTCCAGTACTATAAATGGTATTGCCTTCTCAGTGGTCTGTTGATTTATCCTTGATCCCAAACCCAAAGATATATCACTTTTGAGAATCCATGGTAATAATCCATTAAAGTCTTTAGCATTAAGTCTAAAGAATCAAAATAAGGGATTTAAAATTATCCATAGGTTTGATTATAATAATTATTGGAAACAAAAGAAATGGTCAATAGGGTGTTTATTAAATAAAATATGTCAATAGAATGCTATGCAACCATTTAAATGATCTTGGGAAAGTATATTTAATAACATAAAATCATGTTTGTGATATATGACAATATATTAATCATACTGCAAAATAGTATATGCACTATAATTTCATTAAAAAAATTTTTAAAAAATATGTTTTATTGATTTTTTATAGAGAAGAAGGGAGAGGGATAGAGAGTTAGAAACATCGATGAGAGAGAAACATCGATCAGCTCCCTCCTGCACACCCTCTAATGAGGATGTGCCCGCAACCAAGGTACATGCCCTTGACCAGAATTGAACCTGGGACCCTTGAGTCCGCAGGCCGACGCTCCATCCATTGAGCCAAACCAGCTAGGGCTAATTTCATTTTTGTAAGGAAAATATTGATATATGCATCTTTGTCTCCCACATCTTGCGGCCTCCCTAAAACATAGCCAATAACTGTAAGTGAAAACTATTATATCCCCCACAGGGGCACATCAGGAAGATGGTGATTCAGTTCAAGGGCTTCACAGAGACTGTCACACAGCTGAGGCACCTGGGGACCCTAAGTCAGAGCCCTAGAAGATGTAGATTAGACACGGAAAAGGCCTTGCTATGGACTGAATGTTTGTGTTCCCCCAGTGTGATGGTGGTTGGAGGTGGGGCCTTGGGGAAGTGATGAGGTCAGGAGAGTGAAGCTCTCATAAATGGAATTAGTGCCCTTATAAAAAAGACCCCAGAGAGCTCCCCAGTCCCTGCCGCCATGTGAGGACACAGGAAGAAAACATCTGTCTGTGAACCAGGAAGTGGGACCTCACCAGACGTTGAATCAGCCTTGATCTTAGACTTCCAGACTCCAGAGCTGTGAGAAATAAATTTCTATTGTTTATAAGCCACCCTGACTGTGGCATTCTCGTGTAATAGCCAGGACAGAGTAAGGCAGGCCTGTATTAGTTATTTGTTCCTGTAAAGCACATCCCTCCAAAACTTAGTGACTTAAAACCACAGTCATTTATTACCTTTTGTGGTTCCTGTGGGTTGGTTTTGGGCAGTACTCAGTGGGGTGGTTCTGGCTTGGGGTCTCTCATGATGTTGCCATCAGCTGCGAGCTGGGAACTGGGGTCACCTCAAGGGCTTCTTTACTCAGGTGTCTGGTTCTTGGGCTCAGATGATCCAAACATCTGGAGGCTGACACAGCTGGGCACTTCCCTCAATGTCTACGTGGTCTCCAGCATGGCAGCTTCATGGTAGCTGGACTCCTCACGTGGTAGTTCAGGCCTTTTTCTAAGTTAGCCTCAGAAATTACAGTGTCACTTGGCCAATTTATTAGAAGCATGTCACTAAATCAAGCCACATTCTTGAAAAGGATTTAGGGAAAAGGAATGAGACTTCACTTTTTGTGGGAAGAGTGCCCAAACATTTGCAGACCAGTTTTAAAACCACCACAGGATCTTAGAGACCCAACAGCCCGCAGGGCTGGACAGCTTCCATTGACCGTCCCATTCATTTCTCACTCTCCTCTCCCGGTCCTCTGGCCCAGGAGACTGGACCACATTTCTTCTCTGTTCTTAGTCCTAGAACACTGCACTCTCCCTTGTGGTTTCCCTGCAAGCTGCCCACACCTCTATAGGGTCCTTTTTTAAAAAAACTGGCCACCATCTGTTTCCTGCTGTGATCTTGAAAGCTACACTCACCCCTCTCATCTTACAAATGACGTGAATGACTTACCCAAGCTCTCAGTCCGTGATCCAGGGCTTGGGACACCTAATCCAGAGCCCTTTTGTTTTCACTCACGGAAACCAGGATGAAACCCCTAGAACTCTTAGTTACTCCTGCAGGGACTAACTGTTGCCTGTGTGTATTTCCCTGCACAGTGCTGTGTCGAGCCAGAATAAAGCCGGAGGTAACAGGAAAAGCCACTAGGACCAATGATGTCTTTACCTAAAACTTTGATGTTTTGTTCATCATGGATTTTTTTGCATTAATTTTCCTCTTATAACACATTGCATTATGCTATTATTTATCTTGATGACTGAGTTTTTGTGCCCCAGGCAAGTGCCCTAATCACCCCACCTGAGTCCCAGCTCTGTCCCTCCAGTTCCCTCTCACCTTTCTTACTCCCCACCCAACAGCTGACTGGTCTTCTAGAGCTGACTCCAGGATCAGTTTCAGCACCTCCGCTCTTCCCTTTCCTCAGGTTTTACCACCCAAATCCCATTACCTGGCTGGTGCCACGTCTTTGGATGTTGTCAGCTGGTGAAAATTTTTAGTGGAGACAGTTAATTTATAACTAGGTGGAGGAGCAGAGGCCCCTCTATTCAATTTGCTTTTAGGTACCACCCAGTAGTGTCGTGTGTGTGTGTGTGTGTGTGTGTGTGTGTGTGTGTGTTAGATGCAAGGCTAGAGATGGGTGAGCTGCAGGGCCAGACTTCCACGTGTTTACATTTAGGGTTGAAGATGTTGTGCCCAGATTTCAAGATTCCCAAGGGCCCACCAGGGAGCCAGCCAGTCCGATGCAAAAGCAAAGAGTCATTTATTTCAAACCTAGGTCTAGCTCCCCTGCCCTTCTTACTGGCACAGCAGCAGGTGGCAGAGAGAGTGAAGCCTGATGGGAGGGGGGTGGGTGTTTATAGGAGGGAGGAGCAAGGGCAGGAGAGGGGACCGTGGGCCCTGCCGATTGGCCAGGCGCGAGTTGGTGTCTCATTACACAGGATGTAGTCATATTGATGGCGTGCACTTCCCTTGATTACCATTGGCTAGTCCAGAGAAATCCTGGGCATGGCCAGCAGAGGCCTGGGCCTCCGGGAAGAAGCCCCCGCCGAGCACATGGCTCTGCCCAAAAATGGAGGACCCAGGGCAAGATGGAGGGCGCAATCCTCGCCCCGCCCAGGGCGAGCTGAGCCCGGGCTCCAGGGGCCAGTCCGGTTGCCAGGGGTCCAGCAGATCCACCAGTTCCAGCCCAGACAGGAAGTCCACGTCCTCTGTCTTGTCCCCGGGGACGCCGGCGATCCCCTCCTCCTCCATCTCCTCGGGCGAGGGCACGCGCCCCGCCCCGCCGCCGCTGCCGCCGCGTGGGTCCAGTCTGGGGGCGGTGGGCAGGTGGCGGCCTGCGCCGGGCTCCTGCTGTGGGCTGGGGAGTTGGTGCCTGAGGCCGCCAGCAGCGTGGTCAGGCTGTGCCTCATGGGGCCTGGCGGCCAGCCCACATAGGCCCCGCGACGACTCGCCCTTTCAGAAGACAGACACATTAAAAGTTATAATACATATAATAAAGGCTTTCCAGGCATTTATATATAAAATACTATGAGTAGAGGGCAGTTAAATCTGTTGCTCAGAGTTTGTGGAAGGAATGAAGCAAGGGAAGCAAGGAAGGAAGGAAGGAAGGAAGGAAGGAAGGAAGGAAGGAAGGAAGGAAGGAAGGAAGGAAGGAAGGATTGGTAGACGGGGAAGCAGGCTGGCTGGTGACAGGGGTCCCACAAAAGTAAGAAAAGGAGGCACCACAGATAGCTAACCACTGCCTAGCTTGCAGTTTTTCCTGTTGCTTTCCTTATTTAGAGCTGTCGTGTCACTCCACATAACTGGCAGGCTTTTCTCCTTTAGATCTATTCTAAGACACTAAATGAGACTCTTCACACTTCATTTCTCTTCCGTCAGAGGAGAGGCTGATGTGACGTGCAGATGCACGTCACCTCTGCCCAGTGACAAACACCAGCGGCTCTGGCCCGGCTGTACTTTTCCCCTTGATGCAGGCAGTGAGGATTATTAAATGGCATTTCATTATGATCGCCGGCTCGATGTTAGTCATGGCATAATTTAGAGGCAGCCTGAAGGGAGTTGAGATAACAATGTCACTCCAAAGTCAGGAAGCCATTGCACAAACAGCAACCCCAAGCTTTGCAGCTAGTGCTGCGTCCTGCTTTGGACAGCGTCACCTCGTTTTTTGCTCCTAGTTTGGTAATTTTTTAAAACCTAAAATATAATTTTTTTGAATTAATTTCCAAGGCTGTTGTCTTTGAAGGATTGATTACTTGGCTGAATATAGAGGGATCTTTTTAGTCTAGACTTTGTTTCTGACTCACTGTGATAACCTGGGCAGATCTTTTAATCTCTTGTCTTTCCTCCCATCACCACTGTTTGTTTGGAAACCTTGTCAAATCATTGCTTTCTTATTCTCAGTGTCCCCACACCTTAACAGATGATATTATTCAACAGTCCTTGATATAGAATCAAAATGCTATTCTCCAAGCAGTTCCTAATTATCTCCTGTTTCTGCTTTATAACTTCAACTTTCCCCCCTTTCCTTAATCTTCTCAATTCTACTGCTCTCTACATTCAGCTTTTCTCTCTGATGCAGCTAAGCCACTGCCCATTAAGGGACATAATCTTTAATGGGATCCATTTCTAGCTAGCCTTTTGAAATGCAGTTCTGTAATTATACTTTAACTTAGTTCTCTCTTTTTCTAACTATGGCTTTTAAAGTCTGTTAATGTTCTAATTGGAAGCCATTCATTATATTTTAATAATAATATGAAAACATATGCTTTGCATGCACTCTTATAAAATCATCATTAGAAGGAAAACCCTAGTGATGAAGACATAATATGATTGGCATAATTTAATAATAGCTACCATTTAAGGCTATTCTCTATGTAGGAGATATATAATATTTAATTCGTGCAATAAATTCCCAGTGAGAAAAATAATTTTACAGGTGAGAAAACTTATGATCAAAGAGGTCACTAAGCCAGGGCTTTTGATTTTGATTTTTTTTTTTTTTTACTCTGTTGAAGATACCCATTATTTTGTGAATCCAGGATCCCTTTTTCTGGAAATTGCTTCTCTTTTTTCCATCCATATGGCTGTCAGGGGAACAGTCATGTTGTGACAGGGTCCTATCCCCTGGCTTTGAAGCCTTTCCCACAAAGTTTTGTGGACTGGGGATTAAGGGAATATTGGTTCAGGGTATTTTTATTTGTCAAGTTGTAACATGTGAAGCTTAGGAATCTGTTGGTGGCTTATTTACAGGCATATAGACTGAGATGTGGGGTGAAGGCAGCCTGGAATAGAGACAGGGAGGCAGGATTTTAGCCCCTGCTTCCTGATTTCTGTCTATGTATTGGTGAAGGTATCCCTGTGTCCTGATAATATTTCCCCTTTTTGCTTAACTTCTGATTTGCTGTCAGTCACTTGCTACCCTCAAAGTCCTAATGTTTAGTACTGCTGGTCGTCTTAACCATAGCAAAAGAAGATAATGGATTTGGGTTGAAAATCACTGACATTTGAGGGTTTAATTCAAAGGCTAATGGTTCCCCAAGTGTATTGGTTTAGGTTCTTCCTTCTTGATCCCAAACTCATCTGAAAAAGAAATTAAACCTATTAAAAAGGGTTGCATTAAAAAATAGCCAAATTCATTCAAAGAGCAAGTCATTTTGAAAACCATTGAAAGTTAGTTGTTGTTGCTGTTGGCTAAATGAGTTTTATTCAATCATCTTCATTTATTTCTTAAAGAACTCAATCAGATGTCCCATTTCCCAACACCTCAACATATCAGGCAGCAAAGGGAAAAGGAAAATTTCCTAAAGCATGGATTGTGGTATTCTCTGTTGAAGTGATTAATGAAAGAATAAGTTCACTATTACAGATAAGGAATTCTTTGAGAAGGTCTTTGCAGCAACTCTAAAATAGAAAGAGATTTGGGATTGTGTAGTTTTTGCTGCTTCTGACACCTTGGTCCATAAGCTTACACTTGGCTGTCACAATGACATCATAGGTCACGTGGGTGACTATAGAGTACCCTAGTGTTCTACTTAGTAGTTCTCTGCCTGTGCCTCTTCAGGCTCAGCAGTTTAAAACTTGCCCCACTCCCATGTTCATGGATTATATATGGATCTAGATTGTGTGGCCACCTCCACCTTCAGGTTTAACACAGGTGACAATTTGCACTGGGGCTTTACAAAAGAAAAAATGTCTTCATCTTAGGTAACAAAAAGAAGGTCTTAACCCTGCCTGACAATAGTTTAAGACCTAAAAAAAACAATGATCAGGGACTGCATTAAATCAGCATTGGAGAGGTTGTCTTCGAAAATACAGAGAAAAACTAAAATGCGTGCAGAGAATGGAGGTGAATATACAGGTCATTCCAACAGCAGACTGGGGACTCTGAGTTTACTAAGAATATATTTCAAAATAACCAGTCAATTTGATTGAACAAATAGCTTTCAAATATTAAGCTAGTTGTTTGAATGACCAAATCAGTGGATGAAAATAATTTATATTCAGTTCTCAGACATAGACCTACTTATTATCCAGAAACGTTTTCTTTCTGTCTAATCTAAATTACTCTTCCATTGTTGTCACCCATTTTTAAAGCCTTTGCTAATAGAGAATGGCTATCTGGCTTGTTTTTGTCTTCCAATTCTATCTTCTTAGTTTCCCTTGTAGAGTCTAGTTTTCATCCTTCAGTTACTCTTAAAAGCCAAGCCAAACCAAACCAAACAAACCAACAAAAACCAGATAAAAGTCACAATGCAGTTCTCATTGGCTTAGTAGATTTTTGCCAGGCTAGTGAAAATTACACATTAATTTCCCCACATAGGATTTGGTGGGAATAAAGTACATCCCTTTGCTATACTTGTGGCTTATTAGGTAAAATAGGATGTTGCCCATTTGTGGTTATGTTTGTCCTGCTTCATCCCAGCTCTTCCTGTGTGTGGTTCCTGCGGGGGGAGCATCATGAATGCACATTAGGAACATTATTATTGTCCATGAGTGTGTGTGTGTGTGTAGGGGCAGGTTGGAGAAGAATGTCTCAGTGGTGATGTAGCAAAGCCAGACCCCCCAAAGTGGGATAAATGGGGTTCTCCAAGCTGAGTATTCTGGGAGCTGGCCAAGGCCATCACTAGGTTGGAAGGAGACTGGGCTAGGGCTTACAGAATGAGTGTGCCTGAGCCTCCCTCTGGGCACAGACTGCTGGGAGACAGACTTGAAACTGGCCTGGTATGTTGGGGTTAAACCATTTATTTTTCTCCTCTTTTATTCCTCTTGGGTTTCTTTATTCCCTCTCTAAAATTTAGACATCTGTACAACCCTGGGATGGGGAGGGAGGCATGGTGGCCAGTGTTCATGACCTTTGGGGGAACTTCCCTCTCATGCTCTCTGTGGTCTAAGGACTACTACAGAGTTGGACTATGGTAAGAAGGCCTCCTGTTTAAATAGCTAAGGGGCAGTCCCTGCAGAGCTCAGAATTGTCTTAAATATGAAAATATCAAGTTCTGACACCACTAGGTAAATCATTGCTTAATTTTGAGTATTCATAAACTAAAAATAGAACCATTTCCTTGCATTAAAACCCTGTGTTATGGTCTCGTTATCTGTAATAATTTCATAACAATGCAAGCTATGGTAGTTGTGTTTTCTGTCAGGCAGTGGTAAAGCAACATGAAAGTTTTTAGGAAAGGGGTGAGAAAGGTGAATGTGGAATGTCCCCACATTTCCCACAATTTTATACATAAAAGAGAAGCAATTCTCTTCATATGTAATTAGCAAAGATAAGCTTATTCTTAACTTATTTCTGAGTCACTAAGTCATTTGGTTCGCCCTGTACATTGGCTGATGAGCAGTTATAATTAAGCTTTGGGCAGTTCTTTCCACACGAACATTAAAGTAATTCAGGTATTTGAAGGTGTGACATGGAATGACTTCCTCTCTCAGTGGTTCAGTAGCTGCTGTGTCCTGGCCCCCATTAGCTGGCCCAGGAGTGTCTGCCGTATATACATTCAAGCTAAGTGACTACCCCTCAGCTAAAATCCAGGAGCACACAGACGCCAGAGTTAGCTTTCCATTAAGGGAATGCTTACAAGAAACTGGCCCAGGATAAAGCAAAGGCTAAGGGACAGAAAGAAAGCTTGAATTACATTATTGCAATATTCTGCAAAATCAGATTTCGGCGTCTGTCCTGCTTCTCTTTGGAGCTGAAAACGCCTTGAGTTTCTCCCTGAGAAGCATGAGCAATTGCGTAAGTACTGTATTTTCTGACAATTTCCAGCACGAGTCCATCCAAGATTACAGGCAAGGCTGCATGATAAGGTTATTATGTGTTTGGGTATTTTATACATGAGTGTAACCTTGTCACCTTGCTTTGCAAAACCAAAAATCCCCTGTGTATGCCCAGGAGAGGAGAATTCAGCATTTGCCAGGCCCAGCAAAATGCCCTCCCTTATTCTCTTTCCCGGCCTCACTGCTTCTCCCACACGTGGATTCAGTAAGTTGTAAGAGTCTGAAATCATGCTTGCTGAATAATGCTAGCCCACTCTGAAAATTTGGGAGAGAGCTGGACCCTCGTCATCACCACGCACTGTGTCACCGAGGCAGGGTAACCCATGGTTACTGAGCGCAGATCAGTGAAGGAGCAGGCAGCCTTCCCTCCTCACTGCTGTATAAAAGAGACCCGGGCAGGGGACCCCGCCAGCTTCCAGCTCTCAGCCGGACGAGGTGTGGAGTGGAGCACACTAGCTGCTGGCGGAGGCAGGACCAGCATGTCTCCTTCCTTCAAACTCCGCTGTCGCTTCATCCTGATCTTCCTGGTGGCTCTGAGAGGGGAGAGCCGATACCTGGAGGTGAGTGGTCCCCTGGCTGACCCCTCACACCTCCCCTGGTGAGTGTCCTGCCCTAGAGGGGGAAGGGGGGCGGGGGGGGGGGTGAGGCAGGCTGCGTAGGCGCTTGCCTTTGCCGGGTTAGCTCTTTCTTCCCCATCCTTGGTGCCGCCCTTTCCCCAGACTGGCTTTCCCTCCTGCCTCTTCCTCCTTCCCCCTGGCTGCCTGCGGTCCCCTGGTCTGATGGACAGTATCCCGTCACTTGATCTTTGCTGTAAGGCAGAGAGGGTGCCCTGCTCCCGGCCCCCTTTCCCACCCCTTCAACTTTTCCCAACTGACCCATGTTCCTTGCCAGCTGCGGGAAGCCGGGGACCACGACCCTTTCCTGCTCCTCAGCGCCCACCTGAAGCGGGAGCTGGCGGGGGAGCCGCTGTACCGCCGCGCTCTGCGTGAGTTGGGGCTGCCCGGCTGGAGCCCGGCTGGGTTCGCAGGCAGCGGGATGTGGGGAGGTGTGGGCTCTCCGCAAGGGCAGGAGGCTCCCGGCACCACAGAGAAGGGGCTGTCCAGGGCATGATTCCCATCGCGAAGGCTCGGTGCCGCCACGAGGAGCGCAGCAGCGGACGGGGTGTTGCGCCCTGGGGCACCGGAGCAGCGCGCAGCGAGGCTGGGAGTCCGGCTGGGAGTCGGGCGCGGGGGGCGCTGCAAACCTGGAAATCCGGGCGCCGGGAGGGGCTGCGGGGGGCTGGCGCCGCGGGGGCTGCAGCCGAGACGCCGCGCCCCGTGCCCTGCCCGCCCTCAGGGTGCCTGGACATGCTGAGCCTGCAGGGCCAGTTCACCTTCACCGCCGACCGGCCGCAGCTGCACTGCGCTGCCTTCTTCATCAGCGAGCCCGAGGAGTTCATCACCATCTACTACGACCTGGTCTCCATTGACTGCCAGGGCGGGGACTTCCTGAAGGTGAGGTGTCCCCACCCAGCAGCCCGGCACCGGCGCCGCGCGGAGGGGAAATGGGCGGGCTGCTGCGCCGGTCGTGGGGCAGCCGAGTTTGGGGAGCCGGTGACATTCTTAGTTAGACGCTCCGCTGGGACAGGAACCGCCTCTCCACCCCAAGACCTCGCCCCACACCAGGAAGGGCTGGGCCTCAGAGGCTGCAATGATTTAAATTCCCCCCTGTGTACTCCTGGGGCCGACGCTTCCAAAGACTTGAACTCCCGTTGCTAAAGGCTGTATTGCAATCTCGGCCGATGTACAAACTAGCGCGAGCGCTCGGGTCCACCGAGAGGGCGGGTGCTGAGCGGAGGCAGGCCCCAGGAGTCTGAGACCTGCGCCTGCTTTGCTCCTGCTGGTCCGGAGATGTCCCAGGCCCCTAAAGGTTGTCTTCAAAGCCGTAGGACGCAGGCTGCTGGGAGGGATGCTGAGAGGGAATCTAGTCTGAGGCCGGTGGGAGGGGAGGACAAGCTCCATGCCTCTCCCAGGCATGGTCCATGAGCCAGGCAGGTCAGCTGGGAATGGCTGATGGAGTTCTCCGGTCCAGTTCAAAAGAGCAGGACTAAAATCTGCGCACTGGGATTATTTTTTAAATGGTGCCTTGGTTCAAAACGCTTTAGAAGAGGACTAAAGTAATTTGCAGCTGGTGTTGCTGATGGGAACGAAACTGAACTCATTAAGTTGGAGACCTGTGGTGTTTTTAAGAGTAAAGTCAATTTTGTCCAATTGCAAACTTTAACAAGTGAAGGGGGAAAAGTCCTAAGCTATACACCAGCCATTGTTGTCTGAGTGCTGAAGTAGTTCTTGGTATTTTAATATCTGATAAAGTAAAACAAACAAACAAACAAAAACAATGAGGAAAATGGGCATGCATAACCGTTGGCAGGTAGGTCAAGTTGCAGCTTCAGTTTTTTTCTGCTGCTGTGTTTTTTAAAAAGATATTTTATTCATATTTCAATGAGGAAAAGAAAGAATAACTGAAACCCAACTTGTGCTTCTGTAGTTTGATTTACAAAGGTGGCTGAAGTATAATAAAGTTTACTTATTTTGGAAACTTTAAGGTTTATAAAGAAAAAAATACAATAAATAATTAATAATATTACTTGCAAATAACCCTCTCAGTAGAGATATATCTCAGTAGAGATATATACCCTCTCAGTAGAGATGGAAAGCAAGTGGGCAGAGGAGTGTAGGCTGTCGGTTCCACACCTGTCACTTAGGGAGTTGATGGGAGCGATCACCTCTGTGTGTGTTTTTGTTGGAAGGTATTTGACGGTTGGATTCTCAAAGGGGAGAAGTTCCCCAGTTCCCAGGACCACCCTCTCCCCACAACTGAGCGGTACATAGATTTCTGTGAGAGTGGTCTTGGCCGAAGGAGCATCAGATCCTCCCAGAACGTGGCCATGATCTTCTTCCGGGTCCATGAACCAGGAAATGGGTTCACATTAACCATCAGGACAGTTCCCAACCTCTTTCGTAAGTGGGCTCTCTGTCTTCCCAGGTGGAAGGCAGTGCGGGGGTGGGGGGTGGGGGTGGTGTAGATCAAATCTGGTTTTCAAAGAGAGTATCATTGCACAAACTTAAGACATTTGAAGTGAAAAATGATTTAAATGGAAATTCTTTTGTAATCAGAAATGGCCAAAAAGAATATTTTCTATTTATTATTACGAAAATCAAATCACAGTTTTTAATTTATTTCCCAGTCTAGATAGGATACTACTTTAAGGTGAGTAGAATTCTATCTTTTTGTTCAGTATTTTATTCTAATCTCCTAAAGTACAGTGCATTCAGTGACAAACTTTAATCCCTCCAAATCATTCCACTCATCTGGGATAAGCTTGAGGGATCAGATATGAAGTTGCAGTTTTAGATATTTATATAAAGGTGGAAAGAAGCCCCCCAAAGAGGCTGTATCTGGGATGTGTTAGACAGATTTCATGCCTGGGCAGAAGGTTGAACCAGCACCTCAAAGTTGCCTTCTGATTCAGCGTCCCCCACTGTAATTTAGTTCATTGCTGATGGATATGCCCATAGATGCTAAAAAGCTGAACAGCCCAGGCCTAACATGCATTATCTTAATCAAAATGAGTTCATTCATCTGCTTATTTTTCTCCCATTAAAACAAAACAAAGATTAATTGGATGAAAGAAGGTGAAGGGATTAGCCAAATAACATAGATATAACCCACAGACACAGACAACAGTATGGTGATGGCCAAAGGGAAGGGGGGAGGGGGCTAGGTGGAAGTGGGTAAAGAGGGGGGAAATGGGGACATTTTCAATAGCATCAACAATAAAAATAAAGTAAAAAATTAATTCAGGAAAAGAGAAATTATTATTCATTTTTGGTTGCATGCAATAGTATTAGTATTACCACTTCATATGGTCAAAGAATGGACTGAATCTGCCAAAGAATAATGTACTGACTGATCTTTCAATTTTTGTGTTTTGTTTTTTTTAAATTTTGAAAGAAGTCCCCCAAAGAGGCTGTTTCTGAGGACCGGAGCAGAATAATCCTAGAGGGGAAAAAATGAAATATTTCTCATCTATTTTGTTTGGTTATAAATCAGAAGCCTTCCAGAATTATCATGGAATTTCAGTTCTTTTTGAAATTAAGTGGAATTAAAAAATATGGAAGGAGGCAAGAGGTAGTTCTGACCTGTTCTGATAAGTCAGAAACTTTTGGGGGGGAAAAGGTATAAACTAATGCTCCTAGTTTCATAGCTAGAAGAATAAATTTATAAGTCTAGACTTGAGATACAAAACAAAAAATTTCAGAAAATTCTTGGGAGTAAATCAAACATTAAAATTTATCTTTTAGTCAATTTAACATTTAACACTCAGCAAATATTTACTCAGATGTAAGCCTGCTTTCTTTCTATTTTTTCTCAGCCTATCTCATGACTGTTTTATTGTTTATTTATTTTATTATTTAAAAAATAACATTGGCCCCAAATTCAATGAGTGAAGGCTCCAGACAGGTAGGGTTTGAGTTCTGGCCTCAGCTTGAAAGTCTTGATTCTTCCAGACTCCCAGCTTGAACCTGGACCCCAGTTAACTGAAGTGTTCCAGCCGGTATTGTTTGGTTGGTTATGAATTTAGGTTTTCTGATTATAAATAAGATAACCCCCTGAGATTAATATTAGAAGCCCCTGGCAGCCCAAAGACTTCATCCATGCATCCCTGGTGGCTTCCCCAAACCCTTCCCACCTCCAAATTGCCTTTGTGAAATGTACTCTCTTCCAAGCCAGAAGGCCTAGACCAGTGGTTCTCAACCTTCTGGCCTTTTCAATACAGTTCCTCATGTTGTGACCCAACCATAAAATTATTTTCGTTGCTACTTCATAACTGTAATGTTGCTACTGTTACAAATCGTAATGTAAATATCTGATATGCAGGATGGTCTTAGGCGACCCCTGTGAAAGGGTCATTCGACCGCCAAAGGGGTCGCGACCCACAGGTTGAGAACTGCTGCCCTAGACCATGAATAGGAGCCTAAAATAAGGATGAGGCAAATGTCTATAAAAACCAGCATACCAAGTAGTGAGAATGTGATTTTTTTTTTCCTGCAAAGCCTGCAACGTCATTTCCCAGACCCCAAATGGAAGGTTCACCCTGGTGGTTCCACATCAGCATCGAAACTGCAGCTTCTCCATAATTTATCCTGTGATGATCAAAATATCTGATCTCACCCTGGGACACTTAAATGGCCTGCAGTTAAAGGTGAGTTGCTTCCTTGCTTTCAAATTATTTACTAAAGCCAGAGCTTTGTCAGAGCAAAAGTACTCATACAGAGTAAACATGGACATTAGCAATTGGAGTAGTCTGCCCTGTTTGACTGTAAAGTCTCACAGGTGTGTGCCCCCCCTGCTTTAACTAAACCCCTTCCTATTCCTGTTCAGCTGAAAGTTGCACACTCAGGTGTCCCCTGTGCTACTTGAATACTTTCCTTGTGATGCAAGAAATGTTTTCAATGGGTAAATGTGTGGCATATAATTACAATTGAACTCTCTTGTACTTGCCTCTTTAAAAAAAAATTATCTCCTGGCAGAACCTAGTATGAGTCATCTACACAGCTGTTTTTCTGACTATTGGAATTTTCTTTTGACATGAAGGAAGTATCTCATTGACTGTGTTATGAAGAAATGCTAAGTGTAGCATAAAATGCGAAATTGGATTTTTATATTGCAAAATACAGTAAAGTTTTGAAGAGTTTTCTGGCATTACATTTAATTCAGTACATTTTGTAACAGATATTAGTTGACATTCTCCATCAACTTGTTTTCCCATGAACTTCTGTATGGATCTTAAGATAAATGCTGAGCTTGACCACATTTACTTGCACTGGTAGCGTCTTCCCTCTGAGTCATCCTCGTTTCCTTTTACTTTCTCTTGTGCTGAGGTTAAGATAGCTCGTGTATTTGCTGGCATCAAGGACAGTCATAGCTCCTAATCAGACAGATTTCAGGGAAAGCCAAGTAGGACTAGGACTGATAAAAGGAACATATCTAAGCCCTAAATTTGTGGGCCAATGCTTTTTTGTTTGTTTTTTTGGAGGGCGACTTTAGTGGAAAAATATTTCTTTGATAAAGACCAGAACAAGTGGGTGTCTATGTATGACATAGCCTTATTGCCTTGAGATTGTTCATATGTCATTCCTGATGTACAGTATAGATGACAGCAAGAGTGATACCAGACTGGGAGATCTGCACTTCAGTTATTCTTGGCTATGAGGAGTAATCTTGGTGTTCCCTTTTAAAAAAATAAATAAATAAATAAAAATTAAAGTCTGCATTCTTCTAGGCATCTTTTTCTTTTCCAAATATTTTTTGAGTTCTCACTATGTTCAAGGCACTATTCTAGATGCTGTAAATTAACAACAAACAAAATAGATGCTGCTCACATGAAACCTGCATTTTAGTGGCATGTGACAGGCAAAACTGCATATATTTCAGCTAGTGGCGAGTGCCTTACTGAAAATGAAAGGAAGTGCTGTGATGGATAGTGACTGGGACAAGGGAGCAGAAGGAGGGGTGGAGAGCTCCTTGAGATACCAAGGCAGTCAGGAGAGAAACCTTCTGAGAAGGAGACAAAGTGAGACTTTAGTGATAGTGATGAGGGAGCCAGCAGCCACAGGAAGAGCCAGGAACAGAGAGAACAGTAGTATAGAGGCCCAGAGGCAGGAATGAGCTTATTGGATTTCAGAAATGGAAAGGAGGAAAGATGTGGGGGAGTGATATGAGACATGTCAGGGAGATGGGCAGGGCCAGTGTGCAGAGCCTCACAGGTCATATTTGAATTTATTCTAAATCCTTATCAGTAGAAATGATAAACATTGTCCCAATAGCAGAAAAAGTCCTTTACAAAGAAAAGGAAAAGAAGTGAGTTGAAAGAAAGCCCTATTTATGAAAACTCTCTGACTTCATGCACTAATTCAAATATTCTAGTATGTATGTCTGAATGATTTCATTTTTTCACACATCTTATGTGGAGTTTATAGATTCCCATTTCATCATTGTAGTCCTTGAACTTATTTTTAAAATGCACACACATTTTAAAAAATGATTACTCAGCTGATTTAGAAAAGCAATTCTTATCATTTTTTTAAATTATAAATGCCTTTTAATTTCGGAGTCCTGAATGTTGAATGAAATGGCACTATTAGGATGTCTAGGGCTGATTGAGTGAATTCACCAACTTGCCATTGGTCAAATGATTTGAGTCCCATAGTTGGTTTAAATATCTCTTTCCCTGTTGCTATTCTCTCAGAAACCTGCAGCAGGCTGTGGGGGGAAAGGAGACTTTGTGGAGCTCCTGGGAGGAAGTGGATTGGACCCTTCCAAGATGATGCCTGTAGCAGATCTCTGCTATCCCTTTCAAGGCCCTGGTGAGATGTTTCTTTGATCATTATTTATGTGCCCATCAAGATTATTTCCTTAAATGAAACACCTAACATTTCTTATACATGGGAGGTCAAGTCCCACCAAAAATCTTCAATTTTGCACATTAAGTGCACAAGTGAGGATTTTACACTTAAGACTATGTACACTATGAAGAATGCATTACCAAAGTATCTGACACTGGGAGAGAAACGTATGAAGTAACAAGGATGCGTGTTTAAGGTTGGCCTAAGTAAAACTGGGAAGGAATTGGAGATTATCTTTAAAGAGACAAAAGTAAAACAGGAGGGAAACAGCAATAGTCTTTAACCTCATGGCAAATTCTTATCATAGCCCCTTTTCTTTCTTGTAACCACAGATCATTAACCAGCTAGATGATGAAGCTGTAAATCAGACATCCTTTGATCAGCTGTTGCCTGTTTTAATTAAAACCATTTCTGCACCCCAGTATTTTTTCTCTCTGAGCTAATACTGGGACCTTAATAAACAAAACATCTCTGTAATAGAATTAATATGCATCGGTAACCACTAAGGCTCAACATGTGGTGTCCACCGTCCCCATTCTACTCCTGTATAAAAGAGCTTCGGATGAGACTTAAGGCAGGACTGGGGCCAGGGCAAGCTTGATAATCAAGGTAAAGGCAAGAGGTTTCTAAGAACTCACTTTGCTGAAAACACAGGGGTTATTTAATGCTAATTTACACTTGAGCTCTGGTTTAAACTGTCAGTGCAAGTTGCTTCTCTTGCCCTTTGCATGTGTTCCCTGAGGCAATGCATCCTTCCATGCCAGTGGGAGATGTGTGTGAGGATTAGATTAAAGATGATCAAACACCCATACCTTATATAATTTAGATCATTGAGGCCAGAGTAATTTTGGTGCTTGAATTATATGATTTGAATTAGGTAAAATGGTAAGACTAATGCCAAAAAAACACTTTTGTCTAAATTATCCAGATGATTGAAACTAGTCTTAAGATAATTTGAAGGCTTGAATTCTGTGACTCATTGTTTCATTTTAACTTCACTTTTTTCTTTCATTCACCATGTTTCCATGAGCCCCTCCTAAGCTGTTCAGACAATGAAGAACTATTAGGGACCCTGCTCTTTCAATTGGACTTTCTTAGTAATTATGTCAAATAAATAATATGCACATGAACTAAAGGAAATGGGGAATGTTATGTAGATTAAAGTTCAGAGCAAGATCAGAAAAAGAATGACCTTCCAAGTCATTTAAGGAAAATTAAATTTGAGCCTCCTTGTAGAAGCATAATGCAGACTCCCTGGTTCTTATATTAAGATAATGTCTCCAAATTGACTTTTACCTCAATACGTAACTGTCTGGCAGTTTTATTTCATTTAAAATCAGGCACCTGTTTGTCAAGTACCAGTTATACAATAATGCTAGTGTTTCTCAGAGACAAAGTGGGTGGAGGGAGATTAAGTAGATTAAAACAACAGAAAGGATTATTATAGGGCAGATAAATCCTGTCTCAGGAGCCAGCCTGAGGCTGGAAGAGTAAAATAGAAGTAATTTTTAATAAAAATGATGAGTTTCAATATATAACCACTCAGGTACATCTGTACCAGAAGATACATAAACATTGTCAGATGCTTATACTGATAATGGATAAGATTGGATTTAAGAGAAGTAAGGATATCAATAGTCATTCCTTCTATGAAGCACAGGAAAAAAATGAGAGAGAAATGGAAAAATGAGAAAAAAGGTAGGTGGACAATGGGACAAATGAGAGAAATGGAAAAAATCAGAAAAATGTAGGTGGACAATGGGACAAAATGAATATATTGAGTGTGGTCTATCTAAATCATGCAGAATATTTTTGTTTATATGTAAAACAACTATTATCTAGGCTCAGAAAATAATAAACAGGTGATCTTTTTGGTCAACATCAATGTTTAGCATTACAATTTAGCCTCCAACCTGCCCATTAAATATCACTTGCACCCCCAGATGTTATGACAACCAAAAACTACCCCTGCTAATTTCTAGCCTGGCTCTGGAAGGCAGTACTGTCTCCGCTGAGAACACTGAACTAGAGTGAAGGTTAGTGTGGAGAGGCCCCTGCCTTTACCACCAGAGCCTTGCAGGTGGAATGTGAAAAGCGCAAGGAAACATCCTCTTGCCTCTCTGCAGCCAGATTTGTTTGGCTAACGGTGTTCTTGCACATGAAGAGAAACGCTGAGATCAGTGTCACAATTCTGAAGTTAATTCTGTATTCTAACAAACATGAAAACAAAAACGTTTCCCCTCCTGGCATGGTTTGAGCCCATGAAAAGAAGATACAAGCTCTCGCTTTCTTTGAGTTTTTAAATGATCTTATTGACAGAAGTGGTTTTGCTGTGTGGTTTCTAACTTGCTGGGAAACTTGTACTTTTTCCATGAATGATAGCCCAAATGAAAATTGGCTGCGACAACACGGTGGTGCGCATGGTCTCCAGCGGAAAACACATAAACCGTGTGACTTTTGAGTACCGCCAGCTGGAACCATACGAACTGGAAAACCCAAATGGAAACAGTATCCGGGAATTCTGTTTGTCTGGTCTTTGAATAACCATCCAGTTATTTACATGCTGCTAGCAAAGTGAGTGTTTAATAGGTATTATATATGATTTCGATGACCACTAGTTTAAAGCCTTTCCTACCAGCCAGTATTCACAGCCTCTCTCTCTCTCTCTCTCTCTCTCTCTCTCTCTCTCTCTCTCTCTCTCTCTCTCTCTCTCACACACACACACACACACACACACACACAAACACACACGTTTTTGTACCTTGCTTCTTTTTCATTTGTAATATATAAATGACCACATGGCCCCCACCTTGGTAGTAAAACAGTTTTCTGTAATTCTTTGGTATGCTACAAACCTGAACTGGTAAGACAAGTGCAAAGCAATGTGCAATTTTAAAAAATGTGTCTCAAGGAAAAATACTATAAAGAGATAAAAATAGTGGCATTCATATCAGTTCTATAACAGAAAGCAATGGAATGTCTGTGTACACCAAGGTAGTTGCTTCTGTTTTCATTTTCTGCTTATTATTCTGTTTACAATAGACAATAGTTGTAGCTACTACGTATTGATTTGCATCAACTTGTTTTTAACAAATCTTTGTAGCAAGGAAAACCTTTCCCATCCGTAATACAAAAGTGAATAAATACATTTGGGGTGTTGTCACCTTCATACTGCACTTTGTTTTCTGAGTCGTCTCCTCCTTTATTATCATCAGAAAATAACATTCTCATGTGGTACACAGCCAAATGCTGCACAAAATCACTTTAGACTTTTAGAACTAGTGGAGCCCTGGCTAATGGGGTAGAATTATTTAGAGTAGAAGGTGCATTACAGTGTTTGCACAAATAACACTGACTGATAGTCCTAACAGAGAAGCAGAATGTAGAGACCCCTTTTCCACTGTCCCTCAAGAAAACTGAGCATACATGTCTTTGTCACAGGGGAGTACTTTTCATCAAGGACAACAGGGCCGTACAGCTCTCAGAGACACAACTTGATGAAATCTGAGTACTTCTTTGGTCCTGAAGGCAGTTCACTGTTGACTGAGCCTTGTTCATATTTGTCTTGAGACTAGATGTGTGGCCTATAAAAAACACTTAAGGCCAAAAATAAGGTCCTGAGCAACAAAGGAAATACTCCTAAGTGATGTCCTCTTTCCTTTGAGTTAATGGATGCAATCTGCAAAGTGTGCCATAAATAATGGCCTTATTATGATTCCTGAACATATTTAATATAAAGTTCATTTTATAATGGAAAGTACTGGAATCCCATACCCTGAAATCTGAAAAACAGAAAGAAAAACATTGATTGCAATTGTTTTAGAAAAAAAAGCAAACCCAGGATTTAGCACAAATTTTGGCTCAGTAGATATTTTGTAATGAGTGAAAACTTTTGCAAATGAATGAATAAATACCTGCATGGGTGGTTGAATGGATGGGTGGATGGATGGATGAATAAAGCTGGGATAAAGGTTGGGATGAATGAATAAGTGCATGGATGGATGGATAAATGCTGGGGCAAAGCCTGATAGAATAAATGCTTGAATGGATGGATATACAACTTCTGATTAATTACATAAGATGTTGGATTCCTTATTTCATAGAAAACAAATTCATGAAGTTGAACCCTTTTATCTTTTTTCACAGTCCTGCTAGCAACCTAAGAATCCATGCACTTATATCACTGTTAAAATTTTCTGACTTTTAATCCTCATGATCCCTTTATGCTGCATAGAGAAAATGTTCTGAGGTAAGGAGGCAAGTATTTTACTGTGTAAGTTAGGACAATCTGCTCTTATTCCTAAGGGACATTTTGAAAGCTACTAGCTTCTCTGTACTAAAATGGTGGGACTGTGGTCCCTAAGCTTCCTTCTAACTTTGACATTCTGTGGTCGTTCATATGTCACATATCTTATTTCAAAGCTTGTTATTGCCTAATAGTGTGCATTCTTTGAGAAGGTGGCCACTCCAGGGAACTGTCCATGACTCATTCTTGGGAGATCCATAACTTGTCTTCATTCCAAAGGATGAGACAACTTTATGGAAAGAAAATGGTAGATGAGATTTCTGGGGGAGACTTAAATTAAAGGATGTGTCTTCAATGCCACCTCCATTAATCAGGTGAAATATTATATGAAATTTGGGCCAAATCTGACTTTCTAAGAAAGGCAGTATCCATCGTGGTTGAGGTTATTGACTCTGGAGGCAGATCTTTTTGAATCCTAGCTCTGACTCTTACTTGAACAAGTCACTTATAAGTGACTGTTGCTCAGTTTTTAGTCTGTAAATTGAGATAATAAAGACATATCCTTCAAATAAAGATTTTTGTTAAGATTAATGGATAAATATATCTAAAGCCCAAGAACCATGTCTTGCACATATGAGCAGTTATTTTTATTTCTTCTAAGCAAATATGCTATCCCAGGTTCTCCATACTCTTAGTGGGGCATTTGCTTTGTGCTCTGAAGGGTTTGTAGTGATTCAGTTGTTCCTTTTCATCCCAGAACAATTTGTGAGGAAGGTAGGGTTGGTCAGGGTTGTTGCCTGTGATGGAGAAGCAAAGTAAGATTCCTGGGAACATTTGAGGATGGGTCTTGTCAGGCCCTATCAGGCCTCCAGAGCCTCTTTCACAGCTGACCCCTATCTGGAGGCTCTGCACTACTCCAGGGTCAACCCTGACCTTGGACAGGAGACATTGAAACAGCTCTTGTCCAACATGCTGGTCATCAAGGAGTCACCTCACAAATAGACTGTCTTGACTCTCTATGCTGTGCCTAGGCCCCCTCCCTGTAGTCTTCCTATCTCTTGATTATTTCACTCTTGCTCTTGCCTGATCCTACTCTTATTGCCACTCCTAACCCCACATCTTCCTAAATACTATTCGGTGACTTGGGCTCTACTATTGATCACTAAATTCCCAAATTCCTCCTACCTCCATGCCTAAAATTCTAAGAATCTTTGCTCATATGTTTTAGGTCACTCTGTTCCTTACTCTGGACACTTTCCTACCTCCTGTAAAACTGCTGCTTCCACTGTTTTCTAGCCTGTTTTCTGTGGAATATGTTGGTCTTCCTATGACATTGGATTTTCTTCCAGTATTTAAAGCAGCATGTCTTCTTGTTCTCCAAACTTTTCCTGGTCCTGTTGTTTCATTTGAAAGGATAGGGCAGAAATGCCAGGTGTTCACCAAAAGTCATTTCTTTTACACCCTGAGAATGCAGTTATACTACATTTCACCCTCCCTTACAGTTAGGTTAGGCTGTGTGACTGAATTTTAATTGAAGGAGTGTGGGTAGAAAAGATGTCCAACCCTCATGTAATCCTCCATACTTTCTCTTTCTTCTCCTATCTACTGGCATGATATTGAAGTTCTAACAGAGGACTTCAAAGCTATAAAAGAAGACAGAATCATAGGATACAAGGAGCCTGGATCCCTGAATGATCACATGGAAGGCTGCTATTGACCAGAAACTGGACTTTGTGTGAATGAGAAGTAAACTTTTATTTTGTTAAGCTACTGAGATGATGATGATGTTTTAGCATTGAGTATTACCGTATTTCATACAACGGGCCTGTCTAAATTATATTCTCAGCTATACTCTAATTTCCCTGACTGGTTTTGCTGCAACTATATAGGCAGGCCTGATCTGATTGTCTTTCAGAGAAAAATAACTCAAATGCATATCTTTGATCTCATAAACATCAGGCTTTATCTGATATCATTGTACACAACTTTTCCATATTCCTTAAAGAATCCTCTAAGAATAGTGATTCTTAGATTATATCCCTTTGAAAATCTGACGGAAACTATAGATCATATCCCAGAAAAAAAAGCCCACATATACAAGGACACCCCAAATTTCTGAGAATTCTCAGATCCCTGAGGCCCCCAGGTTTCAGTATCAGAATCTCTGCTCTAGGAGTAAATAATAAATAAAACTAAGTTTAAGACCAGTCTTCTTAAACTTGGCTGTCCTCCCTTCAGTGTTGTTAAAAAAACATTCATTGGTTAATTTAGCTGTGAAATGAGTTCATAACAGCAGCTTAATGTTTCTGCTTTTATAGTTTACTATTTAATTTTGCCTTTTACTGCATGGGTTTTTCTGACCTGCTATGTAGTTTTTGCTCAGGGAGGAAATACATTTGAGACAGGACAAATTTTTGTGGCAAAGATCCTTTCAGGTCTCTCCTACCTTCAAATTTCCCTTTCCTGCTATTTAATAGGGAGGCAACATTCCCAGAGTTTGCCTGCAAAACAGAATCTTTGTGAAATGAAAATAAAGATTTGGAGGACAGGATTTACTTGGAGGCAGTTTGTTTATGTGCTTAACAACACCTGATAGAGAGTTGTGGTTAGGAGCTCCTAACATAGGGTAATCACGTGAAATTATATCTGAATACACTCTTATTTGTGCAGTGGAGTAGTTCAGAAGAGAGAAAATTCTTTATATGTTCAAATAAGCAGATTGGCCTTAGTTCTAATGAAACATTTATAATAATTACCATCCATTTTTCTCTTTGCATTTGAAAGTTTGTTTTTTCTTGTATTAAGACATACTGTACAAAGAGAGAAGTAGAGAGGCGAGAAAGGAAACATGGGTAAAAGAAAGAAGGCTTGATTAGATGATTTGAAAACATTATGAAAATCAAGGTTTCCAAATTGGATTCTGGGCTTTGCTCTTAGTAACAACAATATACTTCTCCCTGTGCAGCTGCACAATTGAAAATGAGATGTGTTTTGTATTTTAAGAAGACTGAATGTCAATACTAGGACATACAGCTGGATGAGTTAGATAGAACCATGATCGTTGTGACTAGATGGGTTACCAGATGTTGGGGTTTCCTAGAAAGAAGAATATCTCTTGCCCTAGCCAGT